AAGGGGATCTCAACCCTTGACTTGGTGTTGTCAGCACCACGCTCAGCCAGTGAGCGAACCGGCCATCCCTATGTGGGATCCGAACCCAGGGCCTTGGTGTTATCAGCACCGCACTCTACCGAGTGAGCCACGGGCCGGCCCCTCAGGAGATTTTTTATTGAGGGAGAAGAGGATGATGGATATTGGGAAACAACCAGCAGTTTGGCACACTTTTGTTTCTGGCCTTTTGTTCATTAAAATTCAAAAAGAAAAGCATAAAGAAGAAAGTAAAAATCTCCTGTTGTTTTGGTGGTCATCACTTTACATGTTTATTCAGATATATACTGATTATGCATAGTTTTTAAGACAGTATTTTGTTTTGAGGCTTTTGTTTTGTTTTGCTTTTTTGGTGTCTGGCTTGTATGGGATCCGAACCCTTGACCTTGGTGTCACAACACCACGCTCTAACCAACTGAGCTAACTGGACAGCCTGAGGTGGTTGCTTTTTTGGCTTATGTCTATGTCTTCCTTTACTCCCCCAAACCAAAGGAATCAGTTTTTTTGGTTCTTTTTGTTTTTTTTTCCTTTTTTTGTCTTTTTTCGTGTCCGGCAAAGGATTGCAACCCTCAGTGTCGTGCCCATACCGGGCCAGGACCGGCAACGGGATCGCAACCCCCAGTGCCGCATCCGCACCTCGCTCAGCCAGTGAGGGGAACCAGTCTGTATGTGGGATCCGAACCCTCGGCGGGAGCACCGTCGCGCTCCCAAGCAGCGCACTGTAGCAGTGCGCCACCGGGCCGGCCCCAAAGGAATCAGTTTTAAAGTAGGATCTGTATCATTTCATACTTTTCTCTGTTTTAGTGTCTTTGTAAATAGACAGGGTTTTGGTTTTTCTTTTAATTATGTTAATATATATAACATAAAACTTACCATTTTAACCACTTCTAAGTGTACAGTTCGGTGGCATTAAGTACATTCACGTTGTGCAACCATCACCATATCCATCTCCAGAAATTTTTCATCTTCCCCAAGTGAAATTCTGTACCCATTATACAACAACTCCCCATTCCTCCCAACCCCCAGCCCAGGTTGTTTGTTTTCTTTTCTTTTTCTTTTTTTTATCGCCTTACCTTTGTCAGGCTGTTATTTTTCTTTTAACACCTTTACTCTCCCACATACCTAAGGCCTAAACGTGGTACCATGATGCCCTGTCTCAGGACTAAGAAGGTTTATTGATTGATTGATTGACTGATTGATGGCTGGCCAGTACTGGGATCTGAATCCTTGACGTTGGTGTTACAACACCACATTCTAACCAACTGAGCTAACCAGCCAGCCCCCATGTTGTTTTTTTTAAGAGAATTTATTACACAAAAATGCAATCATAATCTATATACTTTCCTTCATCTTGCTTTTCTCTTTTAACAGGGTATCCTTGAGATACCTCCAAATCAATTACAGTTCTAAGACTTTTTTTTTTTTTTGTCCTTTTTGAGACCGGCGGCACCACGCTCAGCCAGTGAGCACTGTGAGCGCACCAGATCCGAACCCGCGGCGGGAGCGCTGCTGCGCTCCCAGTGCTGCACTCTCCCGAGTGCGCCACGGGCTCAGCCCTAAGACTTTCTAATATTATGTTTACTCAGTTTTGTGAATTAAAAGGTGATTTTAAAATATTTGTTTTAGGGGCCGCCACACTTGGGAGTGTGGCGACGCTCCCGCCAGGGTTCGGATCCCACATAAAGACCGGCCGCTCACTGGCTGAGCGAGGTGCGGGCGCAACA